AGAAATCTAAAAATTTTATATAATATAATATTAATTAGATAGTTCATAGCAAAATTAATATAGAAATTAATCAAGACAAGTAAATAGATATAGAAAATTTTTCATTATAGAAAGCAGACTTATGAAATAGAATATAAAATTTAAGAATGAATTATTAATCATAAATATGGACATCATCTTCTGAAATATCTTCATATTTGACATTTCTAAAAATTATCGATATTCCTGCTAAATAATGATCAAAATATGAAAAATCAATTTTTTCAATATAAGAGTTTCGTGATAATTTTTTTTATAGAAAAAAGAATATATATATATATATCTCTCTCTCTCTCTCTCTTCTTTATTATTTCTTTGTTTATCAGCTTTGCACGAAGTAATTATTTGTGCCGCCTCTAAATTTCATTTAGATTTTTCGGTCCGCGAAATTGCAGCCCCAATTGAGGGCGGATTTCGGGCTTTTGTGCCTGAGGAGGCTTGGAGCTATCATGTCCCGGGTGTCGGTATCAATATGACAAGAACGACATACCATATGATATTCGCGACGGTTCGCCGAGGGTGCCCTTGTCGATTTCGTTGGGAGAGTTGACTAAAGGCGCAATGAGGGACCTGATGCTGCAGAAGTCCCTACAAGAGACACAGCCAGCAGTCGGCAGTGCCCTCTGGACACATGCCTTCTCCGGCTCACACACGGAAAAGATCCTGGACCCTAGTCTCGGATCACTGTGGTTCGCCCCCGGTTCATCCGTTTCATAACCTGCAGGCGCTCCATGCATGCAGGTCACTCCGTTTCCAGTGTCGACAGACATTTTTCAGGTCTTTCCAGGTCTACGGAGATGCTTCAAACTCGGACTCCACACAACAAAGACGAATCTCGGTCTTCCGCGCATTCAGCCGTCTGGCCTGCTCAAACTCTTCGTCAATGGCCAGGTTTGCCTCGACCACCCCGACGGCATTCTCAGCGGTGAAGGAGCCTTGCTGCACGTACATAAGGCCATGATCGCACTGACAGAATGGCTGCGAGCCCTACAATTTGCAACATGAGGACATCCACACGAAACACTGAACACAGGGAGAGCGACTTGGTTCGGAATGTTGAGCCTGTCCACCAAAACCCAAACGTTTCTTTCAGAAAACCGCCAAGGTCACAACAGGCCTTGGCGGCTTTGGGGGGGCCGTTGGGGTCCAAGAAGGCATCCCACTCACCCACCCAGAGTCACTGGGCTCAAGGCTGCTGTGGGTCGTGAAAGCCACCATCCGCAGCATCCTCAGCTTCCTCGGCATCTTCCGAAAACGAATAAGTCTTCAGGTGCATGCCGCAGAAGAGGTGAAGACAACTCGACTTCTTACACATCCAATGCGCTCGTGCGCTGCCTTTTTATGCGAGTACTGCTTCCACGACACCTACAGCCCCCGAAGCCAAAGCCAATGACCCTGCGAACTAGCTGCAATCTCCGCAATCCTCACGCATCAATTTCCTCTAAAAGCAGTCTGTACAAATCTGCACCCACGTCACCGCACCGCCCTCCGGAAGCGTGCGAGCGGGTAGTCGCTTTTGGCTCTCGGTCGTGCCTTCCGGGAAATTGTCAAATCTCTCTTCGAGGGTCCGAGGGACTGTTGTAGGACTATCACCACGCTGACTGCCTGAGTCGTCCCGACGACGCGGCTCTCCGGGGCAAGGAAATAGTTCCTGATGTTTGCCAATTCATGAACCTCGTCAATGCACTAAATCAGACTTATATAGAGAACACCAGAATCAATTTGCCTTGTAATACCATACTTGCCAACCCAACTATACCCGTCTCTGCGCCCAGCATGCAACTCGAGAGTTTGCATGTTTGTGGAAGGTGTTGTTAACCACCTCTGCCAGTGCCTAGCTTCCTAAACCAACGAGCCGAAAGCGACGGACGCTGCTCGCCTTCACACATCGGACTGTGAAGCGAATCGGGCTACGCCAAGCCGCGAGACGAGCTCGGTGTAGTCCACAGTCCCCTGGCCTTTGTCACATGGTAAGTTGATGGAACTTGTACATGTAAGAAGTCCGAGCATTGGTTGCAGGCTTGCTTGAAGTGGCTTCGAGGGCCACTTATCAAGAAGGCAGAGGGCCGAATGCTTCAAGCTCATCAACCAATCCGGCACAATGCGCGTGAGCTTCAGCTGGTTGAAATACCCAACAACTGAAAGACGAAGCGTCATCACGAGACACTACTGGAGCAAGCGAATGAGCACAAACGAGAACCACCCCGAATAAGGCACCACAAAGTGTCTTGATTCAGCATCTTCCTGCTTGAGACCGCTTGGACTCAGGTCGATACTGTCCACGCTGACATACTGAAGCATCTCCTGGAGAAAGCAAGCTCTCTGCCCTTACTGGATGTGACGGCCCAATCGACCCGTGCTACGGGGAAATCGGCTTTCATCCGGCAGCATGTTTTGTCAAGCCTCTGCATGTTTTCTGCATGTGCGATAGCTTTCAACAACCAAAAGCAGAGGTGGATCTTCCAACCCATCAGGTCAACCAAGGTTTGCAATGCCAATCAAACATCCCCAAAGTCCTCTAGATCCTTCTCGCTGAAGTTGTAGCCTGTCCAAAGCTGCGGGGCAGCTGGTTGCGGTAGCTTCGATCACGCTACGGTGCACAAGTACCGCGGGGGCTTGTTTTGCCTCCTGCATGGCTGAGCGGGTCACGAAGCAGGGCGCAAGATCAACACCAGTGGATTCAGTCGGACTTTTCAGTTAGGAGGCCTGGAGGAACGGGTCACTGAAGAAATTTCTCCACACCTTCAACGCTGAGCACATGATAATGGTGCCTCCCATCTGCATGATGCGCTGCAACTCCTCCACCGTTGTTCTGAACTACTTATAGAAGTTGACACTCTTATACCATCAGATCGACATTGACAACGACAAGCGGTGGAAAGCTTGACATACAAGCATTGCAAACTATGCTGAGGCGCTTCGGGGAACTGGATATCTGCGGCTTCACAGCACCTAATCCTGAAAAAAAACTCCGACCTGATGACGTTCAACAGGAGACTCTGAAGCCACAGCAGGATAAACCGCGACAACATGTTCTCGAGCTGTTTCTTGCAAGAAATGGCTTCGGCCAGGGATTTCCTTACCCCTACGACGGTAGCACGTGTGGAGCAGCACCCTGCTTCTTAGGTCTCTGGCAACTCTTGCTTGGAGCCGAGTAGGGTTTAGGGTATCTGCCTTGCACCTTTGTTGTCTGCAGATGTCTGCAGGTTCTTTTGCAGAGATACAGGTTTACAACCCTCCACTTCGTTGGCAGAGTGTCCGCTTCCCGTTTACAACGTCCGGGGCCCCCAGCCCTACGAGTCTTTCTGGACCCGTTATGTCCGCGCTACGGTTTGATCTTTCCCCAAAACAAAAAACCGGTTCACATCCCGTTACGTCCCCTGTTCAGTGATGGCCGCCAGGCAGCGCAGTAGGAGCGGCAGCTGTCCCAACAGATTTATGCAAGCGACATACAGGCGAGGCAAATTCCGGGCCAAAGGTTTCCGATGCCTTGCTCTTGGGACATACGTATGTCACTTCAGAACCTCCACTGAGCCTTATCTTAATTTTGTTCCCGGGTGTACCTGACACAAAAAGACCCCACGACCATAACCTCAAGATGTAAAGTACTCCTTGCATTTGCGCATGTCTCTTACCTCTATCGTGTTTGCGATTTGGACGACTCCACGACTGCAACCACCTGTGGTGTGTCATGCTCATGTAGATTGCCAGAAGTTTTGACAGAGGAAATAGTGCACTCGAATGCCCAGTACCTTGTAGCTCCAACTTTGCACCAGCTCAGAAGCGTGTTCGCTCCTGCGTGGAGAGCCGTCGGCTGCCGGATGGATCGAAAAGCCGGAGGCTGCTCAGAAGCTCCGATGCCTGCACGCGTGATGGCACAACAATCAAGGTGACGCTGACCATGATGTTGACCACCACGGCACTGGCTTCTGCGATCAGGAAGATACCGAATGTGAGGATACAAGTGCAGATGAATCTGAACATGAACATGCGTGTATCGAGGATGATGACAGTGAGGGCGCAAAGGGCGGTATGAAGTCTTGAGGAGGATGAAGGAACAAGCAAGGGAGGGTGATGATGATTGTGATGATGGGAAGAGAGACAACCTTTGAAAGTATGGTGCCAGAACATGTGCACAAGTAAGATGACAAAAAGCACGATGTGACGGTGACTGTGATGATGCAAAGAAACTCGGATCATTGTGAGGATGACAGGGCACGAGGAAGATTACGGTCCTGACAGTCATGATGATGGAAATAATGGCAACAATAGTAAGAATCATGATGCTGGCAGCAACCACGCTCACTTGGCAGTATATAGAGACGGACCATGGGATGATGTTTGGGGGGGAGAAAGAAGAAGAGGGCTGTCACAAGGGCGATCGTGGCAATGATGATGATGATGATGATGGTAACGACGGAGGGACGGCCTGGAGGTGACGACGACGATGATGATGACGATGACGATGATGGAGGCGGTCATGGTGCTGATGACGAAGATGGTGATGATGCTGATGACGAGGGTGGCGGCGGTGAACAGGGTAACGAAGGCGATGATGCTGTGCTGTTCGATGATGCTGAATATGATAATTGTTCTGAAAGCGTGTGATGAGAATGGCGTCACAAGATGGAAATGAGTGGAAGGTTACTGGTGGAGGCACACTTCGGCCTGGTCCTTCGACAGCCACTCGTTGAGGGCGTCCTTGCCGGGATACAGGAGTGCTGGAGTAAGGCCCGGGACGCTGGGGCCGACTTTCATCGACGGTCTTCAGTCTCTAGCCCACAAGCCAAGGCCAATAAGCCGAATCTGCCAGAATTTCAGAATGCTTCTAGGCTTCATTCCTGTTGGGTATTTTTGTTGGTTTAGCACCCTCGGCAATCGCAAGGACTGAACCGCCAAAACGACACTCCCTTGTGCGGCCGATCTCTCGGACGCTTTCAGGCTTGGTTTGCGACTGAAGCAGCAGACTGCACAGGCCATGTTAGGGCTTGAGAACTCCAACCCAAGGAGCCCATGTCAGCAGAACGACAAACTTTTTGAATGAGAGTAGGGAAGGAAACAGAGGATCGCAGGAGCAGAAACCCAACTCCTCGACCACCTGGCCCAGCGCGGCTGCGTCGAAGGCACTGGGGTGGCCCAGGCGCTCCAGAAGCGCAGACACCTGATTTAGGGTGAGGTTTGAGGGAGACACGGTATGGTAGGTTCATACTGAGATACTGTATGTCATTCAAGACGGTGGCCTGCTCAACATGACCAACGCACACTCGCTCTCTTGTTTGGGCGCCGCCAGGCTACAGGCCAGCTGAGCTCGAGTAGTAAACCGTCTCGGAAGTCTGGCTGCCAAACTTTCAAAACCCGGTTAACGTGCGAATGACGGCTTCCTGCGCTGCACCCACGGGCCATCTATCCACAACCCTGACTGGAGAACATCAGAACCACACTGGTCATCATGGTCTGGTCTGCCGAAGAGTAACCTCACAGCAGAAGCAGTGTAAAGAAGTCAATTTTGACCAACCCTACCTCTCGATGCGTCGGGTTCGTGCCAGCCAAACGCAGGGCATCTCCCAGCTGGTCTGGTGATAGGCAGCCAGAGCTTTCCTCCAAGGGGGTTGGAAACCGGCTGCTGGCTTGTCGGTGCTATCTTTCGGAATAGGAGTAGGAGCAGGAGCAGCACCAGGAGCAGGAATATCAGCAGTAGCAGTAGCAGTAGTCGTCGTTGTAGCGGCAGCAGCAGGAGCAGGAGTAGGAGTTGTAGCAGTAGTAGTAGACATGGTCGTCGTCGTCGTCGTCGGTAATAATACTAGAACTAGTACTAGTACTAGTGGTAGTAGTGATGGTTTTTGTCACGCACTTGGCATGCCATAGACCGCACTGCGGGGTCTTGACTAGCAACTGGACTCGACCACAACGATCAAGTGCCCATGATCAGAAGGTGAATTCATTAAAACTCATCCGGCACTCGATCAACACTTCGAGGGAAAATGACTAATTTCATTTGTGCTGCATGATGAGCTCCCACACTTCTTGCTAACGTTTAGCCCCAGATCTGAAGCAGAGGAACGTACAAGTAAGACAAACCCTTCGTGACAAGCTCACCAACAGATTCCCGCAAACCCATCCATTTCGATCAAGCGCTAGTTTCTATACTGTGGTTGTCCAAATACAGAGTATTGACACTACAGGCAAGTGCACGTTCGGCAACATCAACGATCACCCAATGGCAATGCCACAAAAGTAATACGTAGTAGTAGTAGTAGTAGTAGTAGTAGTAGTAGTAGTAAGTAGTAGTAGTAAGCAGTAGTAGTAGCAGTAGCAGTAGTAGTAGTAGTAGTAGTAGTTGTTGTTAGTAGT